TTGAATTTGAGTGAAATTCTCCTACAAAGTATGTTCATCCATCGCAGTTGCCTGATTCTTTAGTCTGGTAGCGCTGGACGCAACTGTAACAATTTTTCCGAGCTTGTTTCAGAATTATTTATGTAATTTGCCAAGAAATGAAGAAGCTCAAATATATCCACATGAAAAATAACTGGGAATAGCTGCACAATGTGATGATCAAATACGTTTTTTTTTTCATGAATGTTGTGCGTATGATTGTGGATCCCACGTCGTCCAACTTGAACCGTCCCTTGTCGGATCCTGCGGCCTCCAATCTTGCTGTGAGGAATAGTCAGCAGTCGGTGGGACGTAGGCTGGGCCTGGCTCTGTGGTCGTAGGTATCCACGATTCTTCATCACCGGATAAGATATGGTGTGTGGCAACTACGAATTCGAACTGATCATTGAATGGATTCAAAAATTTGTAGGCAGAAATTGTACAAGGCCTATAATCTGATGCTGATCGAATTCGGCAGTTCAGTCGCATCTGTTGATCTCGTCTGAAAGGATACACCATTACATACTCAGCAGCTTCAGGGTCAGGTATACATCACGGAACTTCATCGTCTCCGGTTCTCCCAACAAGACAACTGTTACGAGTTCATTGCATTCCGATCAGCACGCATTTCGATTGTGATAGCTAATTGTCCAACACGACCAATCTAACTAACCACAACGAAATGCAAGATGATGGCATGCTAGGGACACGTAACAATCGTCTTGTTGGGGAATCGCGAGGCAATGAAACCGCGTGAAATGCCCGGCTCTTTTGCTCAAACTTACGTCATCATAGTAATAAATGCATCGTGCAATGTTTGTTCGTCCGAAGGATGGACTATTTGCCACCAGAAGCGGCCTACCAGCTGATCAGGGCTGAGACCAAGCAGCTGAGTAAGTCGTGCATCCACAAACGTCATCTTGCCGTCTTCGGCTATTCGCATGGATATCCGAGTCATCTCGGCAGGATCGCATAGGGGCATCGAAGCTACCTGAG